CTCGCGAATCCATATTGAGTATTATGAATCAAATCATGGTTATTAAGATGGTTTCTAATAATATCAGCTATGATCTGAGTCTAGTAATTTGCCTACAACGTAGGTAAGGCTTATTGGACGGTAAATTGCTTGAAAAAATGGAATTAAATTAGCGCTAACATCTTCCACACATCATACTCTACGCTTGTTTGAAGTCATATATTACAAAGGTTATTTAATGGTTCACAAAGTTCCATTTTGCACTCCCACAAGAACCCTGGAAAAAAATAATTCATTTCTTCAGGCCAGCTATAATAATTAATTACTGGGATATCGTTTGTGTCTTCATGAGTGATAACCGAGAGGAAATAATTATTAGAAATCTAGCACATTTCATGATCATTGTCAGTAAGGACCAGCATATCTTTAACCTTTCTTGTACATGCTTTCGAATCCTTAACAACTTTAATTTCATAGTCCCGTTTAGCCTTTATCCTTTTATTTAACTTCCCTCTTAATGTAGATATATTGATTCTTACACCTATAAATTCCTTTCTTCTGCCCTAAAAGATATTTGAGCCTCCTGTTCATTCATTTCCGATCATTTCTATTCGATCTTATTTCTCTACACGGAATAAATGTTCTTTTGGCAGCGTGTACAGTGTTTAGAAAACTCATATTAACAGTTTCCTTCATTACCATAGACCACAGACGATAGATGTTCTCTAAGCCCATTGTAATCTGCTAAACTAAATCTGGGATCCTTACTGAATTATCCTCATCATCATACTTTCATTCAGTACTCAAGGTAGTTGAGAATGGTCATTCGTGCCAAGTTCCTCTGTAATATCTGGGTTATTAACAAGGGCCAGAACCAGGTCAATGAGATCATGTCCCCTCGTTGGTTCTGTTAAAAACTTCTTTACAAAATAATCTTGAATTATCTTTATACCTGTATACTTGTAGGTAAGTATGTTTATCTAGACACAGGTGCACATGAGTACGTAGTCTAAATTACCCACCAGGATAACTCAAAAATGTCAGACAAAGTGACTTAGAGGCTAAAACCTGGTGGTGTTCCTTAATGTTGACATTTCTTTGATTGTAGTGGAAGCTGTGGTAGATACTTGGAATTTAGTATTGGAAAGATTGTTGGAAACGTGTTTGTCAATGGACCATATATCTTTGTTGGATGGTATCACGTCTAGGTTAAGATGTGTGCACGGCGGCTGCAATCTCTGATGAAGTGGAGAAGATTGTGAAGCATAGAAAACACCTGTTCGATGAAAACTTTCTACCTAATAAGTGAGTACGTTTATTTAGGTATAGGTACACATAAATATAGTAATACAAATTATCATACATAGACATATGTGTAAATTAACTAGGATAACCCCAAAAAAGTCAAACTGACTTATTGCCATTGGGGTCCTTGTAATACAACTTATTATTTAAACCTTAAAAGTTAAAACAGGTAAGTAACTCAACTATGTGAAAATCAGCTATGTGAAATAAGGTAAACTGAGTTATTAACATTAAAGAGAGGATCAGCATACAATAATAGGTACATGAATGTAGGGAGGGTAGCCAAGAAGAAGACTATGATTACGACACGTTTAGTTTTGGTATCGTAATACCAAAACTAAACGTGGCTTGCTGTCCCATACCAGTATGGTTTGCCCCCTTCTTATGCCATTCTCATGGGTTAGTCGCCTGTTTTGAGTCACATTCTAGGGGAGAAGATGGAAAGAAGCCAAAATCTGATTAAAGGGCTTTAATTGGGTTGCTAATCCTTCGAGTTAATCCAAAGAAAGTCGTTTTCTTGTACTGGCTTCAGTATAAAAAGCTTTGTCTTCATGCCTCTATACTAGATCGAAAAACTCTGATACACAGGCGAAACATCTCTCTCTAATAAAGATAGATATACTACTACTACTACTGCTACTACTACTACTACTACTGCTACTACTACTACTACTACTACTACTACTACTACTACTGCTACTACTACTACTACTACTACTACTACTACTACTACTACTACTACTACTACTACTACTACTACTACTACTACTGCTACTACTACTACTGCTACTACTACTACTACTACTACTACTACTACTACTAATAATAATAATAATAATAATAATACATAAGCAAGGGCTGTCTATAAAGTATGACCTTTTCCGAACCAATTGTAAACATACCTTAGAGAAATAAGTTTATTATCATTTATCATTGTCAATAGTAACAACAACGGTATTATTAGTATTATTAAGAAGGTATTTTTGATGCCGATAAAGGGCTCTTGATCCATGGAATATGATTAGGTTTATATTCACCTGGGAACTCCGTGACTCTTGCGGGTTTAACGCTCCTCATTACTGTAACAATAATGGTAATAATGTTAAATTAGGACTGAGTAAGAGGATGGCTACTGACTCTATCATCTTAAGCAAGATGACGTTATAGTTTACTATATTAAAGGCTTTTCTTAAATCAGTGAAGAGCCTCAGTGATATTCATTATTTTTTAGAAATTCGTAGATTGAGTCAAGCATTATTATTATTATATCAATATTTTTTTCCTGGCCTGAAAACATACTGATAAGGGTCAGTAATGTTATGTTGAGATATGAATGGATACATTTGCTTATTAGCACTTTTATTACATATTTCTATTTGTGGATAATAGTGACAATTTTGTAATTTTTAGTTAGTTTAATATCTTTATTATGCATCCTATATATACCCATCTTGTGGACGATAGTCAAAAGATTACAGAGGTACATAATGGGTCCAGGTAGAGCGAAACACCAACGTCAAAGACCTGGGAGTGATCATGTCGGAGGATCTCACCTTCAAGGACCATAACATTGTATCAATCGCATCTGCTAGAAAAATGACAGGATGGATAATGAGAACCTTCAAAACTAGGGAGGCCAAGCCCATGATGACACTCTTCAGGTCACTTGTTCTATCTAGGCTGGAATATTGCTGCACACTAACAGCACCTTTCAAGGCAGGTGAAATTGCTGACCTAGAAAATGTACAGAGAACCTTCACGGCGCGCATAACGGAGATAAAACACCTCAATTACTGGGAGCGCTTGAGGTTCCTAAACCTGTATTCCCTGGAACCCAGGCGGGAAAGATACATGATTATATACACCTGGAAAATCCTAGAGGGACTAGTACCGAACTTGCACACGAAAATCACTCACTACGAAAGCAAAAGACTTGGCAGACGATGCACCATCCCCCCAATGAAAAGCAGAGGTGTCACTAGCACGTTAAGAGACCATACAATAAGTGTCAGGGACCCGAGACTGTTCAACTGCCTCCCAGCATACATAAGGGGGATTACCAACAGACCCCTGGCAGTCTTCAAGCTGGCACTGGACAAGCACCTAAAGTCGGTTCCTGACCAGCCGGGCTGTGGCTCGTACGTTGGTTTGCGTGCAGCCAGCAGCAACAGCCTGGTTGATCAGGCTCTGACCCACCAGGAGGCCTGGTCACAGACCGGGCCGCGGGGGCGTTGACCCCAGGAACTCTCTCCAGGTAAACTCCAGGTAAACTGGGCCCCAAAGTTTTGATAGCTGAACAAGTTACAGTGGTAATGAATTTTTACATATGGTCATAATCAAGTCCAAGTTACAAAAGTAATGAACAACCTTCACAACCATGAACAAATTACAGAGTAATGAACCATTCATAAGTCCACACCCGATCACAGCTGTAATGAGTTTATTAGTGCAAATATTAACTGGGTTAAACACACACACACACACACACACACACACACACACACACGCACACACACACACACACACACATAGTGGAGGCGGGAACCATACATAGTTTTAAGGTGAGGGATGATGAAGCTCATGGGGCGGGGAGAGAGAGGACCTAGTAGCAATCAGCGAATAGGCGGGGCCAGGAGCTATGAATCGACCCCTACAACCACAAATAGGTGAGTACACACACACGAATTGACAAGGTGAACAAAGACAGGATGTTCCAGAGATGGGACACAGCAATAAGGGGACACAGTTGGAAGTTGAAGACACAGATGAATCACGGATGTTAGGAAGTATTTCTTCAGCCACAGAGTAGTCAGGAAGTGGAATAGTTTGGGAAGCGATGTAGTGGAGGCAGGATCCATACATAGCTTTAAGCAGAGGTACGATCAAGCTCATGGTTCAGGGAGAGTGACCTAGTAGCGACCAGTGAAGAGGCGGGGCCGGGAGCTTGGACTCAACCCCTGCAACATCAACTAGGTGAGTACAGCTAGGTGAGTACACGCTCGCGCGCGAGCACACACATTCTGTAATTGACCTGTATTTTTGTATTTCTTTTGAAAAGCGGCCTTTTGAAGGTTTGTTTAACCCTTAGTAAGTTAAGTATATTTTTTTCTGGCTTGAGAATGTCTCTGCATAGCCCTTGTGGCTTAGCGCTTCTTTTTTATTATAATAATAATAATTGAAAATGTCTGATAGAGATAAATAATATTGTGTTAAGATGTTAATGCATACATTTACTTATTAACACTATTATTTTTAGTTTTATTTGTGGATAATAATGACAATTTTGTAACTGGCTTGTATTTTTTAATTTCTTATGTAGAGTGACCTTTTGAGGATTTGCGTAACCCTGGTAATTTAAGTATATTTTGGAAAGTTTTTATTTTATAGTTATTGAAGAGTGTGACGACAGTGTAAACCCACGTGTTATAATTAATACAGATACATTATCGTTAATTACAACTTTATTAAGATGCTTTAATAAAGTTTCCAATTACTGTTAGTGAGTCTATATGAATTAGAAGATGAGAGGTATTCCCATATTATCTGCTATTACCAACCCATACGGGTGTCACGCGGGTGTTTTATCCCAGGCGTGTGTGTATTTCCCGTGGTCGGGTGTTTTGCGCGGGTGTTTTGCGCGGGTGTTTCCAAGGTATTTGTTTACAAACATTGGAATGTAAACAAAAGTGTGGTGGTCGCGTGTGTTTTGTTGTGGTTGTTGATGCATTGTGGGTCACAGAGTGTGTTGTGGTGCGCACGCCCGCTGCCTCCAGCCCTCGCCATCTTCACCGGCTCCCAGGTTTCACACCATGTCTGCTCCTTTAAGGGGGCCCGATCAGCATGCTTGGGCCCTGCTAGCCCTACAGAAGTCTGCGCCAACTTCCCCTCACCGTGTGCCCTGGTCCCCTGACAGGAAGGGAACCCCTATTGCAAGGTTGGAAGGGAAAGAATTCGAATACATGGTGCGGCAGAGTCGGGTGGTGATCGGCCGCAACTCCAGCAAGGGCGATGTTGATGTTAATATGGGCCATAATAGCTTTATATCGCGTCGACATATTGAAATATATTTCGAGACGCCGCATTTTTACATGATATGCAATGGCAAGAATGGTGTGTTTGTGGACGGTGTTTTTCAGAGGAAGGGCGCCCCACCTCTCCAGCTGCCCAGACAGTAAGTTTCAACTTACCTCCTTTATTGGGCTTTATTTCTCAGCAGTATTCATTACTATTGTGCAAATTACATAGTTGGAAATGTAGTAAAAGGGTAGAAATATTTGATCAACACATAACTGTTTTGACAGCTTATTCAAGGCTGTCATCATATTTGTTTACCTTTGTAAAGGACTTTATAAACCAAGTTAATGTTATGAAATACTTTACATCACGTTAGGAAATACTTTACATGCAAGGCGCAATTATTATTTGGCTGATAAACTATCGTTGCTTGAGGTTCCTGAGGCATGTGTCTTAAAGAAAGTCATTAAAACTGTAATAAGGACAATATAAGTTAAGATGTACTGCAATAGGCCTACTGACTTATATGAGGCAGGCCTTACTCTCACCCATCTATTTCTAAGCTTGCATATGTTTTAGCTTATTTTTAGAGCCACTCAAAATATTTCTTTCAATGGTGATTCTAGGAATTTTTTTTTACATAACTTCAATTCCTTAGGTTATGAAACCAGTGATTTTCTTTTCTGTTTTCCGAATCTGAATTTGCATTTTCGGTCTGTTGTAACTTTTAGCTTAGTCATTTATTTTTAGTGTCTTTTGGTTATTTTTTTTTTTATTTTCCATTAACACCTAATATTCCTACTCCTATCCCCCCCATTTACATTTTTCTGGAAAATTCCTGGTATATCGGAATAACTTATTCATATTTATTCATGTTTTCCATTACATTCATTATGTAATTTTCATTAAGTTATATGATAATTATGTTGCATAATCTAAATGAAGTCTTATCAAAGATACAGTTGCATGACCTTGGGACATGTTGTTTAACATTAATCTATCCAAATTTGAACTTATGTTGGCCAGTTTATTGTGTTATTGATGACCTCATATAGCTATTTATTTCTATTTATTTCTTCATCTGGGTCCTGTAAATTGTGAGCTAGGAGAGCAGCACTAACCATCATAGATCTTCATTATTAAACCCTCTCAAAAGAAACCATACCCCGGCCGGGATTGAACCCGCGGTCAGAGTCTCAAAAGCCTAACTGAGATTCATATATATAAATAACAACTTATTGTTCATTACTTCAGTTACTTTAAAAAAATGGTAAATTTGTGTAGACGATTACAGATTAGCTCATGATATAATAATTATTGTTTAAGAACTATGTTGCATATAAATGTGATTTGTGTTTCACAAGCTCTTCATAATTACTGATTTCTTAAATTTTATTTCTGTCTTCTGGTAAGAAAACAAACAAGAAATTAGTATTCACATTATAGCACAATTCTTGTTAATTAGTAATAAGCTCACCCATTAGAGCTTAGAACTGTCTTTTTTTTTCACCAACCCTCGATATTATATACCTGGAAGCATATTCTGGTTTGACCTTTCTTATCTCTTGTTGATTTTAATGTAAGGGTTCATATTTCTTGTACATATTTTGATGTTCTTGTAAATACTATACCTTTCTTTTACCCTAGAGACTTTTTGTTTTCATTTATCCATATGGGGTTAGTTTTATTTGATCTGATTTTTCATTGAATAATATATATTGCTTGAGTCAGTTGTTCATGATAATGTTTATCAGGTCTCTGTTGTGAATATCTGTACCCAAATGATCTCAGTCAACACTAGCTAGGTAGTCTCTTAATGATTTATAGTTTGCAAAGAAAATATCAGACACACTACCTACTAATATATTATTATCATTATTACAAGTTTTCCTGGACATGTTTAAATCAGTAAATTTGTGATTGGCTTTTTCAACCTTGATCCCAACCTTAAGGTTATTCACTATTATTTCTTTGTTTACCAGAACCAGCTCATCAAGGTTATTCCCTCTTGTTGGTTCTGTTGAAGTTTTGGAAAGTTGTCCTTGATGGCCTCTAGGAAGTCACAAGACTACATTCCCTATCACAGTATTGTAGTTGATTTGGGGTCATTGTTTTAGTAATTCGAGGCTTGTGTTTAACTTTTCTTAATAGAACAGTACATACATACATAAAATAATAGTGCTTTTGGTTTTCCCAAGCTGTAAGGATAATTCGTTGTCTGTTATCCATTGCCTACATGATGACCAGTTTAGATTATGTGTTAGTTACAAATTTTGTAGCTGACATGATCTGGCTACATTTCCCCTTAAGAGGGCTCTGTCATCAACCTTCAGTTGAAGTTTGCATTTGATACTAATGAACATCATTTTCATAACATATAAAGTTAAGGATCCAAACTTCTCTTGTGTGGAACTCTATGCTATCATCAATGGTTCTGATTCAGATTTATTAGCTTTAACAATTTGTTTCCTGTTTAAGTGATATTTGAGTCCTTGAAGCTGTGTATTGAGTTTGTCTTTGTTCTCATCCAACTCATTCTGCTTTTCAACCATCCTGAGAAAAAAAGTAGTTCATATTTGAGCAAAACGTTTTTCAACAAACTCAGTTTGCCTGCCATTCTAATATGCTTGTGTTAATGTAATAGTCTATGGTAATATTTTGACATTATTAGTGGCATTTAATATTTTTTATTCTGCCTTAGTAGGTGAAAGTGTAATTAGAAAATGCAACTGTAGTTATACATATATATTTAAAATGCTTAGTTAAGCAGAAAAAAATTCACATAAAAAAATTATGAAATGAATAATTATATTCTATTTGTATAAAATCCTTAAAAAGTAAGTTTGAGAAATATAATTTTATGAAAGTACTACTTTAGTATATAGAGTTTAATTGGCAATACCTAATAATATGCCATGTTCTAATTATCATCTATAACTTGATGACCTGAGGCATGTGAATGTTTCTCCAGATAGTGAATGTTGCCAAAATTGATGGTTTGATTTTGTTTGTCAGGAGTGGTGGGAATATTTCTCCTAATGTAGTTGTTCAGTTACCCACACAGTGTAGATTTTGGTCCATCGACTGAGGCTAAAGTTCATAGTAGTTATGCAGTGCATCATAATTTATCTAATGTTAATTGAGCATTAAGCATAGCCATAAATTGATGGCTGTCAGCTATAGGATTAATATAATTATTAGAAATTTCCAGTGTAGTATATTATGGACATAATTTACAGTATTTTATTATATTACTGTACTGTTTATTGTGTTTTATGATCATTGTCTTAAATGTTTTAGAAGAATTTTCTTTGAAGTGTGTAAGGGGTAAATGTTATACATCATTAAATGGTCATCAGAGAAAATTCTATTAATACAGTACATTAAAATAGTGCTCGAAAGGGTTGGGAGTTGCAGCAGGTAGTCATTTTGTATTTTTTTGGAGGACAATTTTCCTTTCTTAAATCATATGATTTGGGACTGATGGTGCCATTCACTCTTCAGAAAAATAGCATGCTATATTTAAATGCTAATGTGTATGAAAAACTTTGTTGTAGCTTGTTAATTTATTACTACAGAATGATACTATGTGGTTTTAATTTTGAAACTTCTCAAACAGTTGACTCAGTAATAGTGTGTCAGTGCTGTATGCAATATTACTTATCTTCTTGTGGAACTCAGTATAATAGTCAAAATTTAATTAAAAAAAATTATATAAAGAAATGTATACTTATATGTTTTTATCACATTGGCAGTTTGCTACCAATGTAGGGTGGCCCCTAAAGAGGAAACATTCCCAATCACTCATTCTTTAATTGCCTTTCCAAAAGTGCAGACATTAAAAGTCTTTAATGAAATACATTTGAACATAAGATGTATTCTCCTCTTCTTTTCCTTCAACAGATGCACATTGCGATTCCCCAGCACAAATATTAAGATACAGTTCCAGTCATTAGTAGATGACTTGGATCCTCCTCCGGCAAGGGTGCCATCTCCACCTAAACGAAAAATGCAGCCCTTAAAAATTAACATTCCTGAGCAGGATGCCAACTTTGGCTCTCCATTCCCTTCACCAACTGGTACTATAAGGTAAGCAGAAATAATCACTGTCAGTACTTTTGTCATGTCTTATGCAGCACGCAGTTGGCTGGTAGATGGCAGCCATCCAGGGAAGTGCTACTATCTTATTATATGAATGTGAAATATAAGCCTGTTAAATATTTTGCACACTGGCAGGATTACTGGTCTTTTCCTTTTGTCTCCTCAACATATAAGATAGCTGCAGGTAATTCTTACAAACATCTACTCTCTTTCAGTATACACCTATCTTTACTTTCCTTTGTGTTTTTTTTTAAAAATTGTTATTCCTGTAATACAGTAAATCATCACTTATCTGGTGATTGCTTATTTGGCTTCCAACATTATCTGGCAGTTGTGTTCAGTACTTATAAAAATGTTATATGAAAAACAGTGACCATTAAAAAATGATGTGATCATTCAGTGTTAGAACTAAAATGGAATGTAAATACCAACATGGTGGCACAAAGGACATATGCATGAGATGTTTCTCCTGCAACGTGAATATAATGTGGTTAACAAAGGTATCCATTGCATCTAAGTGTCATTTATTTGCTGTTGATATTCTGGTGTACCTTCTTCCATAAGGGGCTGGATAATGTATCCACTTTGTGAGGCCTGGTCTGAGGCTGCAGGGTTAATGATCTTGGAACCATTAGCTGTATTAATGGATATGAAGAAGGGTATAGAGTATTTGTAGGAAATGAGATGCAATGAGACAGAATATTTGGTTTCTGTAGATACATGTTTGCCCATCTGAATGACCTGCTTGGTTGTGTATTTGAAGATGCTTTGCCTACCTCTGATTCTGTCATTCAGATGGCCCTGGCCTTCTCATTATTTTGGTCAGAAAATAGAGAATATCTGTTTAGGCTTGGATTTTGCTCAAGCAGGTGCAGAGTTCTCTGTGATTGTTCTATCTTTTCATGTAGTAGATTTCTCATTTTGTTCCAGTTGGGAAGGAGAGTTTCTGGTTTATATCAGGGGTTCTGATAAGATATATTATGCATTACATCTTATAAAAGTTTCAAAGATCTTTCCTGCATAGGAAAGTGCAGTTCCTTTTATAACTGTGTTGACCAGTTGTTATTTTCAAAGCAAATATTTTCCACAGTCAATGAAGGGGACTTTGGTTCACTTGCTCCTGAAGAAGCCTTTTGATTCACTAAACATTTCAATCATATGTTTCTCTCTAAATTTATCAAACATTCTATTTCTGATCAATTGTTTCCTTCTCTGGAACAAAGTAGTAGTTAACTGTGTGTTTAGTCTGCATATAGACTATTTACTTCAACTGAGACAGCTTTTTGTAAGCTTATAACAATTTGGTACTGAACACTTGTTCTGAAATGTCACTGCTAATTTTGTTGACCTCTCTGCTGCATTTGATACCATTCATTATGGGTTACTGATACATGATCTTTTTTACTATGACCTTAAGGATACTTAATTGTTACTTCTGAAATCGTATCTTTCTGATCAGTCATATGAAGTGGTAGTCACTGATGTTGTATCTGAGCACTCTCCTTTGCTCTAAATGTTTCTCAGGGCTCTGTTCTTGAACTGTTCTTGTTTACTGGTGGATGTCTGTGAGGTTGATTATAATTTTTATTCTGATGATACACAAGTCTTCATTTGGGTTATGAATGTGGAAGATGCAAAACTGCTTTAGTTAGTTTTTGCTGGATATTCAGACTTCAATGACAAATAGAAAATTGAAACTACAAGAGGGTAGGACAGATTTTGTTTGTCAGAGGAAACCCCAGGGGAGTACATATTGCAGATTTTCGTTCTGTTAGTTTTCAGCTCATAGGATAAGTGAGGATCTGGGTATCTACTGGATTCTTCATTGTCATTTGTTGTACACATCAACTGAAGTGCAGTTCCTGCACTCTGAGAGAGGGGTGGGAATATTTGCAGTAGAGAGAGACATCTGAACTGTCTTATCAACATGCCTTTGGCAAGACAGTGAGAGTATAAATGATGGTGAAAATGTTTCTTTTTTTTTTGGGTCACCCTGCCTTGGTGGGAGACAGCCAGTGTTAAAACAAAAATCAACTGAATTGTTGTCTTGCAATTTTCATACTCATAATCTTTACTCAAAAAGTCAAGGAGGTAGTCTGAGACCTTGGATGAACATCACCAGTGCTTCTCACACCAGAATGAGAAAATGCCTTGATAAGTAGAGTATCTTGGTCCATATTCATGGATTTGTTTCTCCCTCAAATTGGTTTTTGCATTTGTATGTAGGTTTGTCTAATTACTTTCTAAAAAGTCATAAGTCTGCACTGAAGCCTTTTTAGGTAGACTGTATTTTTTCTGCCGACTGTGTTTCCACTAGTTCCTATGTATAAGCTGCATTGGTTCCCTATCAAGGTAAGAATTGAATTTGAACTCTGTTTATTAATATTTAAAGTTATTAAGTTTAATGAACCCAAGTATCTTGCTGATGTGCTTGTACCTTTACATCATTGTTGGGAATTTTTCCGTGAGTTGCCACAGATTTGTTAAGTAGGTTGCCAGTGTCTATTGAGAATCAGGAATCTGTTTATACTTTCAAGTCTGAATTGAAAGCACATCTCCCTTTTAAAGCACTTGATCATAATGATCATAGTGATATTGTTAGTAATGATCGTACTGTTACTTTTTTTTAACAAGCCTTCAGATGATTTCAAGGATCATAATCTCAGTGACTCAGTTTCATCCCAGGCTTCTTGGTTGAATCCATGTTTAGTCAGGCTATTGATGCCAGCTTCTTGCATTTCAACATAGGTAGCTATGGCACAGCTGATTGAGTATTTTGGAGGAGCTTGCTGAATTCCCTCTTATGTTCAATCATCTTCAAAAATTTTCTCATGCGCAGAGTATTTCAACTTTTTTTAAATTAACACCACAACAGCGACAATTTGTAAATACATACAAGTGTAATTCTGCTGTAGTGTGTTCATAAGTTATAAATAATTATACATTCAGTTTCTTGAGCCATGTGAGTTTTTTTTATCATCACATTCATCACGTGATTTCAGAAAATTTTGTGAAGCACGCAGTCTAGTACAGTATAAGCATAAAATTGTTCTAGAAATAACTTAAGTTCATACATACTGTGGCTGTTGAATGTCGAGTAGGTGCTGGAGATATGATGGTCTGGAGTTGCAATAATTTTGAGTTATGATTTACCCTCATAGGAATGTAATTTTGTTTTGCGATGAAAATTTGAGATCTGATACGCATTTGTAATTTAATTATGCCATTTTTTGTGTTATCAAGTTATTATGACCCCTAAAATGTGCAGTAAAGAGGCAATTCCTCTGAAGATCAAGCAAGAAATTTTGAAAAATATAGCATTAGAATTAGTGCATTGGTACTTGAGTATGGATTTCCATAATCACCCATCTTTACTGTTATCATGCAAAAAAAGAAAAATTACAAAAAATAATAATAAAGAGGCTTACAAATATTAAGCTAGCGGAAGAAAAGGCAGAGAATTTTTCATAGAGATGAAAGGACCTTTGCTATTGTGAACAAAAGAGAAACAGATGAAGGGGGATGCAATGGCTGTAAGTTATATCTGTGAGCCGCTGGTCCCAGGCACAATGAAATTTGCATTTCCAGGGTTTTTGAATGAATAATCATTAAACAGTTTTGAGATACGATACATCTTATAGTAGGGATTAATATTGTACCTTCGAGGGACTACTATGTATGAACTTTAATCCCAGTCCCATGATCTAGTGTTTCTGTGGAGGGCACCAATATGCTGTGGGGTGTTGCCAGAACAATACAGTAGGGAAGTAATGTAGCCAATGTACAACACAACTTGTCCTCTAAATAACAGGTGAATTCTTCAGTGTATTATATTGGTCAACTTTTGCTCATTTTAAGCTGAGACCAAAGTTCAGTATTACATGCACAGTTTTCTATTCACCTAACCCTAATTTTAATTAATGTAAATGTATAAAGAAAAAACTTTATAGTTTTCTTCTTTTTCTGGTCACTCTGGCTCAGTGGGAGATGGATATGTTGATTTTTTTTTTTTGCACATCGTTTTAAATAACAAAATTACAGAAATAGGTGACTGTTGTCTGGTGGTAGAAAAGACATCATCATTGCTTGTCTAGTGGGAAACTCACCCATTGTTAAATTTGGGAATGGGTTGTGCTCTGGGGTGCTGCTGGGATGTGTCATGGAGTTTTGGTGGGATTTACATTATATCCTTTCAATGGTGGTACCTTGATGCTGGTGAAGGGCTTTTGGTCCAAGGAATTGATGCTACCTTCTCCTGCCGTGGATTTAATCTAATTACCTCCCATTCCCCATGTGCTGTTTGACCCCCTGTAGGTTTAACAGTTGGGAGGGGGTAAAGGAGGTTTTGTGGGTGAGGGGCTTGGACTAACAGCAAGCATGTGTGAGTGTGTTAGTTAGGAGTGAATGGAGACGAATGGTTTTTGGGACCTGACGAGCTGTTGGATTGTGAGTAGGGTAATATTTAGTGAAGAGATTCAGGGAAACTGGTTTTTATATAGCCAGACTTGAGTACTGGAAATGAGAAGTACAATGCCTACACTTTAAAGGAAAGGTTTGGGATATTGGCAGTTTGGAGAGGTATGTTGTATATGCTTCTAAACTGTGGTATCTGGGTGCCTCTGCGAAGACAGTGATTATGTGTGAGTGAGGTGAAAGTGTTGAATGATGATGATGAAAGTATTTTCTTTTTGAGTCACCCTGCCTCGGTGGGAGACAGCCGACTTGTTGAAAAAAAATATAATTATAATAATTATTATTAAAAATGTAACTTATGTTCCACTTATTTATGCCTGCTCACCACCACCTCTTTACACCTTGTAGAAGTTGACACTTAAAACACAAAAACATTTTCCTGGAAAGCATCTTTGTAACTTAATTAAAGTGTAATGTAATATGTATGTAAGAATTTAATATGACCTTGTGTGAGTTTAGTAAGAGTACTATATCAACACTGGCCAATATTCCAAGCTCCATCACTGATGGTGCTC